TGGAATGTTTGTCCCAGGGTGGTCTCTGTCTATCTGCCTCAGAGATTCCAATTAATCTTAGGTTTGGCCTCTTGAAATAATTGCTCTTCTCTTGGTGGTTTTGTTCTGTCTTTTTAAGCTTCTCCTCTATGTTTTTAACAGTTTGGGCTAGTTCCATATTCTGGTTCTCAAGCTCTGAGATTCTTTCTTCTGCTTAGTTAATTCTTCTTTTCATGCTTATCAGTTTGCTATTTATTTCAGTCACTGTATTCTTTATTGCTGTTATCTCAGTTATCAACTCTTGTCTGTCCTCATTTCTATTTATTCTCTCTATTAATTTCTTGATATCTGGGTTTGTGGTTTGAGAGTAGTCATTCTGGGACTCTTCATTGTCAGTATTCTCAGTGGTTGAACTCCCAGGAGTCTGTGTGAGACCCATATTCTTCCTTTGGTTTTCTTAATTTGTATAGATTTTCCTCCCTACTCCCTCTTTTTTTTTTTTAACCTCTTCTTTAATTCTGTTGTTTAGGGATGAAGGTGTAGCTTTTACTTCTGTTTGCTCAATCTTCTATTCTTTCTTATGTAGTTAATCTGGCTTTGTTCAATTCTGAAGCTGCACTGGGTGTTGGGGCTGTACTTTTTGCAGTTTTGAGATATAATTGAAGGTGAACTGTAATTCAGAAACTATCTGCAGATCCTAGTATCCACGGACAGGTTTGTGGGCCCCCTGGAACCCACTTCTCACCACCTTACAATCTGTCCATGCAGTGGGAGTATATGTTTGCCCCCTGAAAGAAAAATGAGGCAAGAAAAAGGAAAAGAATGGAAAAAGGAAGGAGGAAGATGAGAGGGAGGTGAAGAAAGAGAAGAGGAAGAGGGAGAACAGACAGGTGTACCAACTAACAAATGAACAGAGAAACAAAGAGAAAAAATTTTTTAAAACATACAAACACACAAACCAACACCCCCCATTGTTGTACTCTCCCTCAAAAACACCTGTACACAAACAGGCAGTCTAAAAACAAAACAGAAGCAAAGCAAGTATAAAAACATAGTCAAAATAGAAAGAGAGAAGAGGAAAAATAACTAAAAAAAAAAAAAAAAAAAACCAAGCAAAACAAACAAACAAAAACTTGCTCTGAGGTCGTTTCTGTAACTTTAACTTCCTTTCAGCTCTAGTCTCCAGCCCCTCCCCTCTGCTCTCAGTGTGGGCTGATAGGATTGCTCTCAGTGTGGGATAGATGCCCCACAGACTATTGTGGGAGGAGGATGGATCAGATCCAGACTCACCCTACTCACTATTGCTACTGTCAAGTCTCCCACTCAGATCTGACATGTCTGTGCCTATTCCATCATGAGGGAGGGGCATCTGTCTCTCAGAGTTTGATGAGGAGATAACCTCTAGGTCCCATGTTGGAGGCTGGGTGGAGCTGGGTGGGGCAATGCAGGTCTCTGCCTGGTACTGGGACAGAGAAAATGGTGCTGGTCGGCATTTCCTCACTGGTGGTGGGGCTCCCTTACAGCACTCCATGACCTGCTTTCTCCACAGATCGTGGGGCTCCTGCCACTCTGCTTTCACAGGGAATGGTGTGGGCTGGGTGCCATGTGGTGAGGATCAGCTGCCTTCCACTACCTTTTCTCAGGAGAGTTCCAAGAACATCAGATGATCCTGTGCACTGTGGGCCCCAATCTCAGGGGATGACGGATTGCAGTCACCTCTGAAAGAGATCCCTGGGTACATGAACCCGAGTCTCCCCTCAGATGGACCTTCAGTCACCCACTGGCCCACACCCATTCATGCAGAAAATCTTTATGGACACTTGCTTTCGGAGAGACTCTCACAGTCTGACCCATTCAGTTGCCATCTTGCCAAAAATCTCTACAAATCTTATTGTTAGTAATTTCTTATGCATTCCATTGTGGTCAGAGAATTTACACTGATATTTTCAATCTTTTGGTCTTTAGAGAGTTTCATTTTGTGGCCCATCATATAGCCTTTTTTGGTGAAAATTTTATGTGCCCTTGAAAAAATTAGGTTCTCTAGTCATTGAATATAGAGTTCTTTATATGTCAATAACGTCTAGGTTGTTAATAGTGAAATTCAAATCATCTATTCATTTACTGATTTTTTTTCTAAGACTATCAATGACTGATAAAGGAGTGTCAGAATATACAACTATGATTATGAATTTGTCTATTTCTATCTTTAATTTTATCAGTTTCATCTTCACATATTTTGAAGCTCTGTTGTTATAATTTGAACAGTCCTATGTGTTAAATAAATTAAGGGAGGAAAAAAGATAAGGTATTTTTATATTTACTCACATGTACACCATTTCTAGTGCTTTTCTTTCCTTTCTATAAATCTATACTTCCATCTAGTGACACTTCTTTTTAGCCTGAATAAATTTATTTGTATTTCTTTTAAAGTGCAGGCATGGTGAAGCATTATTTTTAATTATCAGAACATTATTAAATTTGCCATTATTTTTAAAATATATTTTCACTGTATATAATAATTGTGCTTGTAGATGTTTTCAACTCCTTAATGATGTTTATACATTGCTGTACATTATTCAATCTTTCTAATGAGAAGTCTCTCATCATTCATATCATTGTTCCACTGCATACAATATGAATTTTTCTCTAGCTTCTTTCAAGAATTTCTTTTAACCTCTGTTTTCTTAGTAGTTTATGATGAACTTAGGTGTAGTTTTCTTTGTTTTTATCTTGCTTGAAATTTGCTGAGCTTCTTATATCTGTAAATTTATATTTTTCACCAAGTGTGGTAAGATTTTTGCCATTATTACTGCTCCATTAAGCATTTTTCTTTTTGCTTCCCTGTTCATTCTCACTTGCTCTTATGGAACTCCATTTACATTTGTACTAAACCATTTGATACTGTTACACAGGCCACTGAGGCCCTATTTATGTTTTCCTCTGTGCTCTTCAGATTAGATTATTTCTTCTGATTTATCTTTAATATCACTGACCATTTCTTCTGTTGTCTCCATTCTGCTGTTTATGTCATCTGGTGAATTTTTTTTCTCATATTTTACTTTTCAAATCTAAATTTTCCTTTTTTAAAAATATAGTTTCCAGTGCTCTTGTGATTTTTTAATCTGTTCACACATTATGAGTAGATTTTCCTTTAAACCAACAAATATATTTTTCTTAAATAATTTAAATCATCATCTATATATTCTAATATCTGTGTCATATCAGAGTTGGTTTTCATTGATTGGTCTTTTTCATGACTATGGATCACTTTTACATGGTAAGTTTTAATTGCATACTGGACATTGTATGTAATACGTAGAAATTCTGAATTATTTTATCTTCCTCTGAAGAGTATGAATTAAACTTTTATTTTAAGAAATGCAGTAGTTAACTCAGCCTAACACCAGCTTAAAACTCAGTTTTCCCTTCAATACACAGTAGTTAAATTTATCCTCAGTTATTGCAACCTTCCTGCTATTCCTTTTTGCTGGGTTATATGACTCTTTCCCTGTACATATACAGCTCAGGATTTAACCAAGAATTTGGGTAGTCTTCAAGCAAATGCTTGAGCTCTTTCCTCTGTGTCTCCCCACATACCAGTATACCTTCCCTCACTTTTCAGTCATTTTAATACCTTCAATTTTGTCCACTGACTTATCAAGCCAGTAAGACCATGACTTTTCACCATGACTTTAGCCATCCTTTGCTGTGCAGACTGACAGGTGTACCCAGAACAAAAGCCACATCAGTACAAATATACCCAGTGTACTTCCTTTCTTTCAAGGGCAGAATCTGCTCATCTTTCTTTCTTTGGTCACTTTTTTGTGCTTGTCAAATACCTATTATAGTTTGTCAATAGTGTTTAATTTTTATCTTAAGAAGAGTTAATTTGATAAACATCATTCCAATATTATCTGAAATTAATATTATCTGCTTGGTGTTTCTGCCACTACAGAAAGTACCCTTAATATTACCAAACTAATGTTACTCAAATAAGTATTTTGTAGAAGAGCATTCAATTAATATTAATAGTGTTTTGTGTGGGGAAAACTGGATTACATAGTCAAATAGGGCTTGGAAACATAGCATTATAAAACCAACAAATAGGTTTCTTTGCTCCAAGACTTTTACATATCTCTAACAAGTTAATGTACTTTCTTTATCTCTAAATGAAATATTGTCCCAAACTTCTTCATACATAATTAGCAACATTCATTCAAAAATATTTACTGAATCCCAAAGAGTGGAGACTAGAGTGCAATACCCTGTTTTCTATTGCAACAGTGTTCAGGCTATAATTCAATGTCTTTTTAAAATTTTCTAATTTTGATGTGAGTTACTGACTCATAGGGGTTAAGCTTATGCTATTTACTCTTCACCAATACTTACTTTTTAATCATAATAACTATATAATAGGAGGTGCTATTGTTGCAAAAGTAATATTAAAAATAGATTTATCTATTATCAACGTACATGGACTAGATAAAACTCATGAAACTGCTTAGCATGGTATCCGGCACAGATTGGTAGCTTGAAAAATGTTTAGTTTCCTTTTTAAGTGTTTTTCTCTTCTTTGTGTATTAAGTCAGTGACTTCAACAACATTGATCAGAGTTTGGCAAATTAGCTCTCAGGCCAAATGCAGGCAGAGGCTTATTTTCTATGGTCCAAGAGAATGCTTTTTTAGTCACTTTTACAGGTCTGTTTGAAAAAGGAGGTAAGACTATGTGACAGGACCTAAAATGTTTACTATATGACTTTTTACAGAAAATGTTTGCCTCTCCCTAAGACATAATCTAATCCTTATGAACACTATAAATTAAGCAATATAATAGCATTCATTTTGTGTAGTTAAATGCTGAAATAGAAGTCGTGAATTTAATATATATACATATATATAATATACTCCAGAGGAAGATAAAATTATTTTTATATATAATTTATATAAATATATAATTTATATATATATAAATCTATATATATATAGAGAGAGAGATTTCAAAAGCCAATCTCAGATCTTACCTTTTCCCCTTTTATACCACTACAGTCACACTTTGATCCTGGAGAACACCCATAGCAAGCCTGTAAGGAAGAGAAAAGGGAAAATAATTAAATATGAACCTGAAAATCAGATTCTGACTTATAGATGAACTGATTTCAACAATCCCAACTTGTAGAATAAATACCAGAAAAATATCTGAAAATAATATATACCAAATTGTGAATAACATTCACCTCTGAAGAAGTTTTCACCCTTTATTATATTCATTTCTGTTTTAACCTTTCAAAATGAGCAAATGTAATTTTTATAATTTAAAGTGAAAAATAGCTTTCAAAAAAGATGTTAACTGGGCTTGGTGGCTCAGCCTGTAATCCCGTGCTTTGGGAGGTTGAGGTGAGTGGACTGCCTGAGCCGGAGGGTTCGAGATCCGCCTGGGCAACATGACGAGACCTCATCTCTACAATAAATCCAAAAATTAGTCGGGGTGGTAGCGCGCGCCTGTAGTACCAGCTACTTGGAAGGCTGAGGCGGAAGGATCGCTGGAGCCCAGCAGGTCGAGGCTGCGGTGACCAGGAGCGGCCTCTGCAGTCCAGAGTGAGAGTCCAACTCAAAAAAAAAAAAAAAAAAAAGATGTTAAGATGAAAAAGAAATTCATTATAACATCTCTGTAATATGATTTGCCACTTGTCCAAGTTCTTAGGGACTCCTTTTTTCTTCCTAACATCACTTTTAAGAAATTACCTCTCAATCTATATTACAATGACCTTGGCAACTAGCCAAGGATGCCTAACACTTGAAGTCACTTGCGTCTCTGCATTCACAAGAAATCATGGAACATAAAATATATAACATAATCGTTTACCACCTTTCTTCTTTGCTCCTGCTTCCTCATCACTAATAATAGCTCAGTCTCTATTAGCTCCAAGCTTTATCACAAATGCAGCTCCCATGGCCTACATGTTCTAAATAGCTAGCCACTATACAAGTCCCATTCACTCATATTAGAGATTGAGATCCTGAAGACAAAAAAAATCCTCCTTTAAAATAAGAACCTATAGAGGATTTAAAAAAGACAGTAGTAGATGATTTCTGACATCCAGAACTATCCTTTACTCTTAGAGAACTAACTGCTTTTAAAAAAATTACCTTAATATATGTAGATAGCTTAATATATGTAGATAGCTCAGTATTTATGTACAAGAATGTGCCCTGCTTTTCATCAAATAGATAACAAACCGATTTATGGAAAACTTTATATGACATAAATACAAAATAATGTTCATTAATGCTCAACCTTGAGAGCCTTAGACTTAAAAAATACCTTAGCCTCCTGCTCAATATTCCACACTTTCCTTTAGTCACTACACGATTACATTTTTCTTTCTATTTTTTTTTTTTTTTTTTTTTTTGAGTTGGAGTCTCACTCCGTCGCCCAGACTGGAGTGCAGTGGCCGCTCCCGGACACCGCAGCCTCAAGTTTTGACCTTATTCTTCTAGTCAGAACTCCAAGTCAACTCAGTTGCAACTAGAAGCCTCTCTCATGCTGAAATCTCTTTTCCTTATTATAATAATAAACAACGGCTTGATGTTGGAGGAATCTCTCATACTACAAGAGGTTATTCCAGTAAAAGATGGCTTCTGACACTGAAAAATGACAGTCTATTAAGCACCCATTATTTATTATTATTCATAGATGACTAAGTTATACATTCTGATTTTAATATTATATGGTAACTACATTACAAATTAAATAGGCTTATTCAGACTTATTCATCAAACATGAACTAATTAGAGGTCAGAAATTTTGCTAGGCAAAATTATAAATAAGTCACAGCTCCCTCCAACATATGTAACTAATTTATCAAATACTTATCGATCACCTATTATGTGCCAGCCACTATGTTATGTTAGTGCAGGTAGAGTTATAAAGACATCTTGCTATCTAATGGAAGGGTTCTAAGGAACCCATATACCAAAAAAATTACATGACAATATGCCACAAACATAAATTAATTTAAAAAAATAATATCTTTGTGCAAACATAAATTTTGGATTGCAAACTATAGAATTTACAAAATTTAGAAGATACTGATTCACAAAAAGATACTGATTCATAAGTTCAAAGATCATGTCAATGGTCATAATCTCTGAATTACAGTGAGTTGAGTATGCATACTGTCAACACTAATAAGTTAATGGAATCTCCTAATATAATTTATAAACAAACAAAACATTAAATACTCTTGTATGTCATTTTACAAGTAATTTTGCACATTTTTCTTAAAAAATAGTAATTTCATCTTTTTATACTTCTATATTATGTAGTTATACTTTAGTGATATTATTCCTTAAAAATTTGGGAGTTATAACTAAATTTGTTTAAATTCAATTTAAAAAATTAAGTTATATTCTATTTATTCCACCTGGGTTGTGAGACTGACTCTCATACTCCCGGATTAAAACAAAACAAAACAGAACAGGCTATTGTAAGTACATACAGCAACCACTAGATGCCACTTGCTATACAGTTATTACAGTGGAAGTAGCCCCAATTTGACATCTGGTTAATGGAACAACTTGTTTTTACCAACACCTATTAATATTGATTAGGTGCATAATAACCACAAGCACAATATTAGGTCTATGACTTATACAAAAATGTGTAGATATGAGTGCTGCCTTTAAGAAACGTCCAATCTAGTTTTTTTTTTTCCTTTAAAGAAACTAGGCACAAACAAATGAAAATTAAGTTAAAATTCAATTGAATAATGATATAGCAGACAATGCTAATAGAAAGAACTCTAAAATACAAGAAATATGTCACGAATTCACTTCAATGCTTGACTCATTAGGAAACCATGGACAAGTCATTCCCATATTCTAGGACTGTTTCCTCACTTGCAAAATGATGTAGACAATATTATCTCCTCGGGTAGTTTACAGCTTTCACAGTCTATGATTCTGCAGGATTCACCAAGTAAAAATGAGTGGAATAGTCAATAACTGTTATCAAAGTTAAGAAAGAAAGCTCCCTTGAGTCTGGGAGTATTAATAAAAGCTTTGAAGAAATGGTGAATACCTGGACTTCAAATTCAAAAGATAGGCAGAAAGATACATAGAGGAAAAATGACCATGTTAAGAACTAAGATTGAAATACAAAATTGGCTGGGGCACAGAGTCAGGTAAAATGAACGTTAAGTACTTCAGTCTAAAAGGCTTTCTAAATCTATATGAAAAATCGTGTAGTAGGAGATATGGCCCCCAAAAAACACCTTTACAAAATTGTGGAAAAAATTATTTAATTCTTTAAAGTTACTAAAGATTGTTAAAGCAAGAGAATGATGGAACTATTGTAATATTTTAAATTTTTACCGTAAGAGAAAGTAATAATGTAAAAGGCAAAGAAAATTTTGTGTTTTCACACAGAAAAACATATCATAAAACTACGATTATTAAAATAATACAGTATTTCTCAAAGAATAGTTCAGAGAACCCAAATAGAAAGGCCCCAAATAGACACACACACACACACACACACACACACACACACACACACACAATCACTATATGATAAAAGTTAGCATGTCAGATGTGAAAATAATGGATTGTTCACTATATGGTGCTAGGATAAATACAGAAGATAATAAATTTCAATCACAGACTATTATAAGGAAAATGCCAGATATTAGACTTAAAAGTGCAAGTAAAAACAAGCTGTGCATGTATTAGGGTTACTTATTTGCCAAACTTATAGGATATGCAGTTTTTGTTTTATAATTTCTTTACACTAAAGAAGTACAATTCTACTCCCAGAGAACTGGAAGAAAAGATATCTTGGTGCTTAACAAACAGGTACAGGAAAGAAGATCCTTGAAAAACTAACCACAACCTGGCCCTCACATCAATTTGCAATATAAGTTGTCATTGCCTGAGTGGGCTAGTGACCTCAAACTGAGAATTTGGTTAGCGTGGACTCTGATTACATTAACCTCCTACAGGCTGGGCAGAGATTCATACAAGTTCTATGTAGAAGAACATAGCATCATAGTAAACTTCAAAGAATTCCAATACATAATTTTTGAGAGGAACATGAAATATCCCATTCAGAAATTATTAAACATACAAGAAAACAAAATACCTCAAGCAAAAACCAAAGAAATCATCTGACAGCAGAAGCTACTTAGGAAAAAATTCATATACTGGCATTATTAGGCACAACATTTATAATAATTATCTTTATAATTATGAAATAAATGCTTGATAACTTGGAAATAATACAAGAAGCTGGCATTTGTAAAAGTGGTATAGCTAAATTGAAGTAAACATAAATTCTAGAAGTAAAAGCTATAATAATTGAAGTTTAAAACTCAATGGATAGGCTTCACAATAGACTACCACTGAAGAGAGACATGGTGAAGTTAATAGACATGGCAAAGATAAGAAGAAATTATATATGACATGGCATATGGATAAAATATGGAAAACATGAAATAATGATTCAGAGAAATGGAAGAAAAAATAAGGAAGAATAACATACAGGTAATTGAAACTCTAGAAGAAGAAGTGAGAGAGGGAATGGGGTATAAACAATACCTAAGAGACAACAACTAAAATTTCTCAAGAAAAAAAATTATACGGATATTTTCAAGAAGTACAACAGATGCAATGGAAGAAAAATAAAACCTGAAACTAGGTGCAAAAGAGCATAACTTTAGAACATAAAAGTAAAGAAAAAACTATAAAAGCAACAGAAAAGACAAGAGAAATCGCCTTCAAGGGAGTGAAAATTATAGATTAATTCTAAAAGGCAATAATGAAAGTCAGAAGACTGTGGAATGCCATATTTAATATGATAAGAGAAAACTGCCGGGGGACACCCCTTATCAACAAGGGTGCCTGAATGATGCATATTTGCATACCTAGCCCTTAACTGTACCCCACAATTTTAAAATTTAAAAATATGCTAAAAAAAAAGAAAACTGCCAACCTATACTTTTGTTATTCATGTAAATGTATGTGGTACATGAGAAATTATGTTACCTGTATATAATGTGTAGTGATTAAGTTAGAGTATTTAAGG